AAGCTGTGTGTCCGACGGATCTTACGTTTCGGCAATCAAACCCACCGTGAAAGGCAAGGTTTGTGACAGCAGAGACCGAGGAAGGAAGCCACCCCCTTCCTACACAGGATATGGGGGGGAATGACGCGTCCTGCCCATGTCGCAAGTTTCGCACCCGTTTCCAGGGCAAACTACACCTCATCCAGCGACGTGGGCGTAGGACTGAGTCGCTGACTGTTTAAGAAAGGAAGTGAAGCAAAGGTGGGAGACAAGCGTCTCAAAGGTCCTTTTCAGGAATGGAAAAATAAAAAGTCTGTTCACCCTCAGCTCTTGCTTTTTTTTTTTTCCTTCTTTTTTTTTTTGCACACACACAAAAAATCCTTTTTATTTTTCAGAAAAAGGAGCTTTGATTCGGTGCCGTTACGTTTTTGTTTTTCTCAACGGCAAACAAGTTCTACCGGCTTCGCTCCTCGCTGTCTGCGTTCGCACAAACGCCCTTTAACCCAGGTCAGTTAAAAGCCTTGGCAGTTCGATAGGCTACGATGTGCTAAGATTGGCTTTGCTTTAATCTCGGTTTGTTCTTCCTTGGGCTCTGGGGGTTTGTGCGCACATCCAGGCTTCATGGTTCCCTGGGGGTGCACCTTCAGAAAAATGGGTCACGTTTCTTTGTGTGAATGCAGCCAATTTTGCCGTCGAGAGACTAGGTGGGGCATTTGGGTTTCTGGGCATATCCAGTGGCCTCGTGCGAAGTGCTCTTGCCCATGTTGACAAAACTCAATCAGGATAAAGCTGGAAGGGACCATGGAGGTCTTCTAATCCAGGGGCAGGCAACCTTGGCTCCTTTATGACTGGTGGACTTCAACTCCCAGAATTCCTGAGCCAGCATGGGGGAATTATGGCCCCTTCATGACTCGTGGACTTCAACTCCCAGAATTCCTGAGCCAGCATGGCTCAGCTTGGAAACCGCTCCCTTTCCCCTCAGCGTGGCTGGCTCAGGAATTCTGGGAGTTGAAGTCCACGAGTCATAAAGCGGCCTAGGACTAGGGCAGTTAACCTTGGCTCTTTTGTGACTCGTGGACTTCAACTCCCAGAATTCCTGAGCCAGCATGGCTCAGTTTGGAAACCTCTCCCTTTCCCCTCAGCATGGCTGGCTCAGGAATTCTGGGAGTTGAAGTCCACCAGTCACGAAGGGGCCATAGTTAGCACCCATGCTGGCTGAGGAATTCTGGGAGTTGAAGTCCACGAGTCATAAAAGAGCCAAGGTGGCCTACCCCTGGCCTAGTCTAATCCCTGGCTCAAACAGGAGACCTTAGACCAGTGATGGCAAACCTTTTAGAAACCGAGTGCCCAAACTGCAACCCAAAACCCACTTATGCATCGTCGGGTGCCGGGTGGGTGTGGCCCATTAGGTGGGTGTGGTCAATTGGGTGGGTGTGGCCCATTGGCTGGGCACGCTGCAGTGGTAAAGGCAGGCTGGGTGGGACTAAAAAGTTCAATCAATCAATTCCAATTTTGCAAGATCCTTTTTTCCCACAAGAAGTTGAAATTGACTGATTGATTCTTTTTTTTTTTTTTGCACACGGCGGCGGAAGCCTAAAGCGAAAAAGTTCTATAAAACCCAGCTGAAGGCCTAGGACTGGGGCGACAGTGCGAGTGCCCACAGAGAGGGCTCTGAGTGCCACCTCTGGCACCCGTGCCATAGGTTCGCCACCACTGCCTTAGACCATTTCAGAGAAGTGACTGTCCAGTTTCTTCTTGAAAACCTCCAGTGATGAAGCACCCACAACTTCTGGTGGCAAGCTGTTCCACTGGTTAATTGTCCTCACTGTTAGGAAGTTTCTCTTCAGTTCTAGGTTGCTTCTCTCATTGGTTAGTTTCCATCCGTCGCTTCTTCTCCTGCCTTCAGGTGCTTTGGAGAATACCTTGACCCCCTCTTCTTTGGGGCAGCCCCTCAAATACTGGAATACTGCTGTCATGTCACCCCTATTTCTTCTTTTCTTTAGACTAGCCAAACTCAAATCCCACAGCCGTTCTTCCTATGTTTTAGCCTCCAGGCCTTGGATCATCTTAGTTACTCTTCTCTGAATTTTTCCCAAACTCTCAACATCTTTTTTGGGATATGGTGACCAAAATTGGCTGCAGGATTCCAGGTGTGGCCTTACTAAGGCTTTATAAAGCGGTACTAACACTTCACCTAATCTTGATTTTATGCCTCCGTTTATACAACCCAGGATTGTATTAGCTCTTTTGGCTGCTGTTGCACACGCCTGGCTCACGTTTAAGGGATCGAAATATGCTTCTCTGTTTTAACTATTAAATATACATAGGTAGTGCTGGACTTACAACCACTCCTTTAGCGACAATTCAAAGTGACAACAGCACTGGAAAAAAAATCTTATGTGGACAGTCCTCGCACTTACGACCGCTGGGGCGATCCCCACAGTCCTGTGATCAAAATTGAGGCGCTTGGCAAACGGCATGTTATTTGGGACGGTGGCAGCATCCTGGGATCACGTGATCCGCTACCTGCGACTTTCTCAACCGGCTTCCGACAACCAAGGTCGACGGGGGAAGCCCAATTGCAGGATTCACTTCACAACTGCTTAATGACCGTGGCAAAAATGGTGGCCAAATGGAGTGTGACTCACTAAGCAACAGAATCAGTGCCGATCCTAATTGTTGTCAATAAGCCGAAGGACTGTCTCTATGATGCCCCCTCTCGCCGTTGAAGTGACTCTGGCTGACTTACAAAAATGATAAAAAAGATAAATAGATAAAGAAAGGAATTTGAATGAAAAGGAATTAAATTGACTGTGGGGGTCCTTGGTGCTCTCTGAGCTTGGTTGTTTTCTTGCAGACGTTTCATGACCCAACTAGGTAACATCATCAGGGATAGAAGGGAGTGGGGTTTATGGAGAGGAGGAGGAGGAGGAGGAGGACGACGACTGTGGGGTCCTTGGTGCTCTCTGAGCTTGCTTCTTTTCTTGTAGACATTTCATGACCCAACTAGGTAACATCATCAGTGCTAGAAGGGAGAGAGGTTTGTGAAGTGGAGGAGGAAGAGGACTGTGGGGTCCTTGGTGCTCTCCAAGCTTGGTGGTTTTCTTGCAGACGTTTCATTACCCAACTAGGTAACATCATCAGGGCTGGTAGGAACTATATACAAACAGATAGCAAACACCATTCCCTTCTAGCACTGATTGTATTACCTAGTTGGGTCGTGAAACGTCTGCAAAAAAAAAAAAAAGCACCCAGCTCTGAGCGCACGAAGGACCCCACAGCTCCTCCTCCTCTTTGCAAGCCCTCCCTCCCTCCTAGTATTGATGATGTTACCTAGCTGGGTCGTGAAACGTGTGCTAGAAAACTGCCACGCTCAAAGGCCACCAAGTGCCCCGTCGTTCATCATCTACAAAGATTCTCTCCTTCTGATTAAACAGAGAATAATTTGGCCTTGTCTTCTCCCCCCCCCCCCCAGCCCCCCAATGGCAACCGAGAGGCAGACATAGCTACTCCTTGCTGGACAATTCTTGCATCACTCAGCCTGAAATCAGCTAGCCTGGTTCTGACGCTGATTACAGATAGAAGTCATGCAATTTCCCCGTTCTGGAACCAGGGTTGTACCCGCAGCAGGGACAACCCAGATTAATAAGGCAAGGAGGAATACAATGGAATAAGGGACCTTGGAGGTCAGAAGCAAGAATAGAATGGAGTAGAGCTGGAAGGGACCATGGAGGTCTTCTAGCCCAGCCCTCTGCTCAAGCAGGAGAACCTACACCATCTCAGACAGGTGACTGTCTAGCCTCTTCTTAAAAACCTCCAGTGATGGAGTGCCCACGATTTCTGGTGGCAAGCTGTTCCAGTGGTTAACTGTCGGGAAGTTTCTCCTTAATTCCAGGTTGCTTCTCTCTTTCATCAGTTTCCAACCATTGTTCCTTGTCTTCTAATACAAGCCCTGCTCAGGCAGGAAACCCTATACCATTTCAGACAAGTGGTTGCCCAGTCTCTTCTTAAAAACTTCCAGTGTTGGAGCATTCACAGCTTCTGGAGGCAGGTTGTTCCACTGGTTAATTGTTCTAACTGTCAGGAAGTTTCTCCTTAGTTTTAGGTTGCTTCTCTCCTGGATTAATTTCCATCCGTTGCTTCTTGTCCTGCCTTCAGGCGCTTTGGAGAACAGCTTGACTCCCTCTTCTTTGGGGCAGCCCCCGAGATATTGGAAGGCTGCTATCCTGTCCCCCCTCGTCCTTCTCTTCATTAAAATGGACATACCCAATTCCAGCCACCGTTCCTTGTATGTTTTAGCCTCCAGCCCCCATGATCCTCTTTGTTGCTCTTCTCTGCACTCTTTCTAGAGTCTCCACATCTTTTTTACATCGTGGTGAGCAAAAGATGTTAACTACAAAACCCACGCTCGTCCTCCGTCTTACTTACTCATCAATCTTATCGGGGAAGCCCCAGCTCTGCTGCGGATTGGTGTCGCCATGGCCCGTGTGGATGAAGCTGTTCTTGAGCGGCTGGCTGATGTCGTGGGCGGACAGCCCTGCCACGGAGGTCACCGTGTTGCGTGGGAATTGGCCCACCTTCAGCGTCCGCTTATTCTGCCCGCGCCACCAGTAGTTCTCCGCCCTAGGAGAGAAGAGCCAGCCGAGTTAGCGGAAAGAGCAAAGCAAGAATCAATCAGTCAGAGTAGAGCTGGAAGGGACCTTGGAGGTCATCTAGTCCAACCCCCTGCTCAAGCAGGAGACCCTAGACCATTTGAATCAATCAGTCAGAGTAGAGCTGGAAGGGATCTTGGAGGTCATCTAGTCCAACCCACTTCTCAAGCAGGAGATCCTAGACCATTTCAATCAATCAATCAGAAGAGAGCTGGAAGGGATCTTGGAGGTCATCTAGTCCAACTCACTTCTCAAGCAGGAGACCCTAGACCATTTCAATCAATCAATCAATCAATCAATCAATCAATCAATCAATCAATCAATCAATCAGAATAGAGCTGGAAGGGACCTTGGAGGTCATCTAGTCCAACCCCCTGCTCAATCAGGAGACCCTAGACCAGGGATAGGCAACCTTGGCTCTTTTATGACTAGTGGACTTCAACTCCCAGAATTCCTGAGCCAGTATAGCTGGCTCAGGAATTCTGGGAGTTGAAGTCCATGAGTCATAAAAGAGCCAAGGTTGCCTACCCCTGCCCTAGACCATATCAATCAATCAATAAATCAATGAGAATAGAACTGGAAGGGACCTTGGAGATCATCTACTCCAACCCCCTGCTCAAGCAGGAGAACCTAGACCATTTTAATCAATCAATCAATCAATCAAGTTTAGGACTGGCCAGGAGGGGGAACAGAGTGGGCGACGTCGCCAACTGGGCACCCATTTTTAAACTGGGATTCTCTCCACATTTGGGAGATGGGACCCCCACGTATTCAAGAGGAGGTTGCCAGATTGGAGAATGGTGGTCCACCACAGTTAACTGAATCTGGCCTGTTCCTTTCTTAGAAGGCTATGCTGATCAAGAGGACTAGCAACAAGGAGTAGGATTCACATCATAACACAGAAGATTCCTAAAGCGAATATAAAGATAAAACCATTGACTCTTCTTTTGGGTTTAGTGGAAAAAGATTTGGGGGAAAAAATATTGGGACTTCGATGTGGTAGATGTTGACGGCAGCAAGATTACTTTATGCACAAAAACGGAAGGATGCTTTGATTCCCACAATGGATGAATGGCTGCAAAAGTTGAACGGAGTTAGCCGAGATGGCTGAATTGACCGCTTTGATTAAAGAAAAAAAAATACAATTAATTTTGTTTCGACTTGGAAACCACTACTGGACTTTGTGCTTGAGGTGGGGGAAAAAACGAAACTTTTGATTTGGGGTTTTGGTAGATTTGTTGTTATAGAAATGATTAGTTTATACTATTGTGTCAAAGCAAAAAGTTAAAATGTGAGGTTATTATCTTATTCTCCTGCACCAAAAGCAGTCCGAAGTCCATACAGGCAATCCTCAACTTACGACCAGCCTTGAGCCCAAAATTTATGTTGTTAAGTGAGAAATTTGTTGTGAATTTCCCCCCCTTTTTTGGTCTTTTTGGGCCACAATTGTTAAATGAGGCACTGCAGTTGCTAAAAGGGGATTGTGTGACCCCGGGACACTGTGCAAACGTCATAAACGTGAGTCAGTTGTCAAGCATCTGAATGTAAATCATGTGACCCACCCTGGGGATGCTGCAACGGTTGTTAAGTGTGAAAAATGATCCTAAGTCGCTTTTTTTCAGTGACGTCGTAACTTTGAACGGTCACTAAACGAACTGCTGTTAAGTGAAGGACAACCTGTACTTTTTCTTTCATTTTTTTGTCCTTACATTTCTCTCTTCCCCCTTTCCTCCTCTTGTTTTCTTTCGTATTTTTTGTATTTTATATAAACTAATAAAAAATTTGAAACCCCAAGAGGACTAGCGACATGGATACAGAGAGGAAAGGAATCCCTCTCAAAGAGAGCGACTGAAAAGACCTGGACATCGGGGAAGGTTTCCATGTTCCCAGATCATAACGCAAATTGTGTTCCTTTCAGACATGTTGCAGGATCTAGCACAGACACAAACATAACTCACAGTCACACCAGCTTCTTTGTGAAACGACAACAACCGATCTATAGAGACCGCATTCCAACAACACGGCCACCTCAATTGAGTCAGTCCTCAGCAGTTGTTTTTCATTAGAATTAGAATAACGAAGTAGGAAGGGACCCTGGAGATCATCTAGTCCAACCCCCGGCCCAAGCAGGAGACCCTACACCAGAGGTAGGCAACCTTTGGCTCTTTAATGACTCGTGGACTTCAACTCCCAGAATTCCTGAGGCAGCCACAATGAGGGGAAAGGGAGAGGTTTCCAAGCTGAGCCATGCTGCCTCAGGAATTCTGGGAGTTGAAGTCCACCAGTCATGAAGGGGCCATAGTTTCCCCACACTGGCTCAGGAATTCTGGGAGTTGAAGTCCACGAGTCATGAGGGGCCATAGTTCCCCCACGCTGGCTCAGGAATTCTGGGAGTTGAAGTCCACGAGTCATGAGGGGGCCATAGTTTCCCCACGCTGGCTCAGGAATTCTGGGAGTTGAAGTCCACGAGTCATGAGGGGCCATAGTTCCCCCACACTGGCTCAGGAATTCTGGGAGTTGAAGTCCACGAGTCATGAGGGGCCATAGTTCCCCCACGCTGGCTCAGGAATTCTGGGAGTTGAAGTCCGAGAGTCATGAAGGGGCCATAGCTCCCCCATGCTGGCTGAGGAATTCTGGGAGTTGAAGTCCACGAGTCATGAGGGGGCCATAGTTCCCCCACGCTGGCTCAGGAATTTTGGGAGTTAAGTTGGTAACTTGGTTAAGTGAATCTGGCCCCCCCCCCCCCCCGTTGGCTTTGATTGTCAGAAGGTTGCAAAAGGGGATCACGTGACCCCGGGGGACATTGCGACCGTCATAAATACGAGCCAGTTGCCAAGCGCCTGAATTTTAATGTAAACACAGGATTGGCTGCAGTGGTGGTGTAAAAAACTGTCACAAATCTCTTTCCCCCCCCCATGCTGTCGTAAATTTGAATCCTCACCAAACGAACGGTTGTACGTTGAGGACTATCTGTACCTAGGGGAAAAAACCACCAGCTGACCAGCTCAGACTGGTGAGATACAGGAGGATCTGGACAGACTTGAACACTGGGCCCTATCTAACGAAATGAAACTCAATGGTGAAAAAAGCAAGGTTCTACATTTAGGCAAGAAAAAACAAACGTACAGGTATAGTACTATAGGGGGTACCTTGCTCAATAGTAGTAACTGTGAGAGGGACCTTGGAGTCCAACTGGACAATCACTTAAATATGAGCCAGCCGTGTGCTGCAGCTGCCAAAAAAGCCAACACAGTGCTAGGCTGCATGAACAGAGGGATGGAATCAAGATCACGTGAAGTGTTAATACCACTTTACAAGGCCTTGGTAAGGCCACACTTGAAATACGGCATCCAGTTTCAGTCACCACGATGTAAAAAAGATGTTGAGACTCTAAAAAAAGCAGACAAGAGCAACAAAGAGGATCAGGGGACTGAAGGCTAAAACATACAAGGAACTGTTGCTGGTATTGGGCATAACTTATTTAATGACGAAAAGGACGAGGGGGGACAAGATAGCAGTGTTCCAATATCTCAGGGGCTACCCCAAAGAAGAGGGAGTCAAGCTATTCCCCAAAGTGCCTGAAGGCAGGACAAGAAGCAACAGATAGAAACCAATCAAGGAGAGAAGCAACCTAGAACTAAGGAGAAACTTCCTGACAGTTAGAACAATTAACCAGTGGAACAACCCGCCTCCAGAAGCGATGAATGCTCCAACACTGGAAGTTTTTAAGAAGAGACTGGACAGCCATTTGTCTAAAATGGTATAGGGTTTCCTGCCTGAGCAGGGGGTTGGACTAGATGACCTCCAAGGTCCCTTCCAACTTTTATCATCATCATCAATTATTATTATTATTATTACTATTATTACTATTATTACTATTATTACTATTATTACTATTATTATATTTTGCCAGGCTGGTTTCTGCAAATCCAGCCAGCTGGTTTGCCATTTGGAAAAAAAAAGGGAGAGCCTCTCTCGAATAAACTATGGTTTGCCCAAGTCCAAAGCCTAATCCTGGGATCGTCTTAGCTCCTGCGTGCAGCATCCCCTTTCCTCTCCATTTCTCTGCCCACGCTGAGTAATGGCTTGGCAAGGCCTGCCAGGAAGGTAAACAGGAAACATGGGCAGAGCCAGCCGGCCGGCCCATGAAGAGTGAGTCACAGGTAACTTCAGGAGACGGCCTCCCCCGGGAGGAACCAGAGTTGGTGGGGCAGAAAAGTCCAGCTGTCCACCACCTCTTCCAACAGTCACGGGTTTGCAAAAAAAGAAAAAGATCTGGAGCTTCAATCATCGCAGGGAGAAAAATCTGCCTTTTTGTCGGTTTCAGTGGGGCTCCTAAAGACGGTTTCTAGTATCCCCCGTTGTCCCAGAGTTACGGCCTGCCCACGATTGTGATCCTTTGCCTCTGTTCCTCTGCTCTCTGCCTCCAGATGCCCACATTTATCCATTTAATTCAGTGTTTCCCAACCTGGGGAACTGTAAGATGCGTGGACTTCAACTCCCAGAATTCCCCAGCCAGCTATGCTGGCTGGGGAATTCTGGGAGTTGAAGTCCACGCATCTTACAGTTCCCCAGTTTGGGAAACAAGGATTTAGGGAGGCAAAACAAAGATGGCGGCCAAACAAAACCCTGTCCCTCTTTTTGTATCAGGAGTAGCCACTGCCCTCTTTTGACTTTTTTGACCTCCCTTGCCCCAAATACCCCTTTATTTAACTTAGCCTGTTAAAAAATTTGCAGCCGTGGTTGCGAGGACGCTAAGCTTGTTTAGCCTTAAACCTGGTTTGTTTCTGAGGCTCAGAGCGCTCAGTACTGTCGGGTTTATCAGTCAGCAAACAGGTAAGGTCTGTATCCAGGTAGAGCGCGCTGAGGCAAGGAAGCTCTACGAGCTTCACTGGAACTGAAAAAGGACAACTCGCCAACAACACCCGCCCGCTGTTTCTCCTGCCCTCGACAGATAGTCCTCGACTTACA